ACACAGCTGGTCACACCGCGGCCCCCCGTTTGAATAATCAGCACGTAAACAGTGCTCAGAAACTTCAGTTGTCTCTTTTTGGTGTGGGTTTGGTTGTTTTTTTTAAATTGTTCTTGCAGTAAAGAGGTAGAAAGTAAGAGTGATGGATGAGGGAGATGGAGGCAACGTCAGGATTGTCCGATCCCGCATCACGGTCCCTAGCAAAGCCAGGCCGTGGCCATCAAAGAAGAACACAGGACCCCCAGCGTCGTCCTTGCCTCCTGCAGGCCTGTTCTGCCCAGGCAGGGCTGTGCCCCCTCCCTGCCACTTGCTTCGGCCTCACCCCATCGCAGCCCTCATCGACAAGCGAAAAACTGGCTGTGCCCCCGGTTCTATAAATATATTATCAATCTCTTAAGGGCGGGTGTCAGGAGGATGGGGCCAGACTCTTTTCAGTGGTGCCCAGCGACAGGACAAGGGGCAACGGGCACAAACTGAAGCAGAGGAAGTTCCACCTGAACACGAGGAAGAACTTCTTCCCTCTGAGGGTGACAGAGCACTGGAACAGGCTGCCCAGGGAGGCTGTGGAGTCTCCTTCTCTGGAGATATTCAAGACTCGCCTGGAAGCGGTCCTGTGCAGCCTGCTGTAGGTGACCCTGCTTTGGCAGGGGGGTTGGACTAGATGACCTGCAGAGGTCCCTTCCGACCCTGAACATTCTGTGATTGTACGCCACTGCCAATCTCCCTGACCAGGTTTGGGAACCTGAGAGAGAATATAACACTTTTCTGCTCAGCCAGTCGTGACCATTAATGTTCGAAAGCTGAACGTCAGCAGGGCTGCACAGGGACAGTGCTGCTGTGCTTGAACTTACAGCTCCAGCTCGCCTGCCTTGCTAAACAACCTCGGGAGAATGAATCAAGATTTGGGAACAAAAAGGGACACGTTACTAAATCACATTTATCTGGTGTTAGTTCAGGCAAGGAAAGAGGTTATTTTTTCAGCAGAGGAAGGGAAGCAGTCGGCTTCCACGCCAACAGGGTAATTACACCTGAGCTCCCGAGAGCAGGTGATTGCAAGGAAGCGGTTTCTGTCTTCCCCCAGCCCGATACACCAGTGGATTGATGAGGTTCCCAGCCAGGCTGTGACCACAGGATCTGGTGAGCCTGGGAAGGATAGGAGGTGTTGACAGCTTTTACATCCAAGGGCATCGCAAGAGGTCTCAGAGGAAGCAAGAAGACTGGGAAGAAGCTGCTCTAGGAAAGAGGGTTGTTTATTTTGGAATTGTGTGGTTTATCTGGATTTCTGCCACTGGCTCTCCGTGAAGCATCTGAGATGCCTGAGAAGGAATCTCAGGGGTTTTGTTAAATTTGGCCTCTGACGTGCTCATTTTGATGAAGAGGTAGTACTCCGAGAGAGCACAACTCAATTTAACTGAACAACCAAAAGCTAGCAACCCACAAAGTCTCCATGAATCCCTGTGGACCTAAAGGGAGACACTGGAATAGAAAGAAGTACCCTCAGACTGTAAAACAGATAGCTTTAAGTTTAGTCTGGAGACGTCATCTTTTTGAGGACCTTGGACTAGAATTGTTCACAAGCTTGGGGCAAGCCAAGACCAATCCGCCCAAAGATGTCATCAGGAAATTCAGCTGACTACACAGCATCAATAAGAGACAAAGCAGCTTACCAAACATCTCAGGAGAAGATTCACAGATGTCCAACATATGCCAAAAGCCATCCTAACATCAAAAGAGTGGCAGAGAAACTTGCTGTTTTGAGCGCTTCACCACCGTCGCAAGCAGGAATAGATGTTAACACACACTGCCTTTTCTTCCAGGGTTTGCCTCCTCCCACAGCAAGGGGCTCTGACCTTCCCAGCCACTAGTTTGACTTAATACAGCAGAACTTCTCTGCAGAAATAAGCTGGGAAGCAGCAAGACAGCACCATGGTACATATCGCTGGCTAAATATTGAAGGCTTAACTGCCCAGCAGTAGGAACATAAAGCTCTCTACCTCTGTTTCTTTCTACCTACCACAAACAGCAGGATTCTATCTCCAGTCTCAAATAACCTTACGAACTCAGTAGCTCAAGTGCACACAGGTATACATGCAGTTTCCAACCCCTGTCAGCTGAGCTACCAAATGCTGCTGTAAAATATAGAGGCGGCTTGACAACAGAAAGCACCTGCTGTCTGTCTCAGTCAAAGACATGTCTAGCTCAGACCTGAGGATACCAGTGTCACGACATCAGTAGCATTGAAGGACATACAGACTGTATTATCTTACAAGATTTTACTTGCTGACTATGATAAATATTAGCAGGTTTTTGTGCTTCACCGTGTTTCTCAGTTTTAAGATTTAAAAAATGTAACAGGAAACCAGTCAGTTTGTAATTGCGCAGAGTTCTAAATGAAGTGGGGATTCCACCAAAGTTCTCCATGAGATGGGATTTGGGAAGTTTACATTAAAACCAGTTCCGCAAACGAAAGAACTATCCACACAATACCCCCTACCCTAGCATCAAGAACAGCAACCAAACCAAGTTCATGGAAAGATCCCACAACATGGAAACAAAGGCATTTGCCTGGGAGAAGCCTTCCACACTCAACGTGCCCTTGAACTCTCTAATCACCTCTCATCCTTTAAGCAGCTGTGGGTTGGTTTGCCTTTCGAATTACTACTGCCCCTTAAAAGTCATGTTTTGCCTCTTGAGCTGCTAGTCAGTGTGGGATTTGGAATTTTGTCCTGCAGTCCCACACATTTTGGATTACTCTCAACTGTCAAGATTACTCCCAGCCCATCAGGGAAACCTATCAAATGTATAGTTCAGATCAATA